ATGCTGTGAATCCCTGTGTATGAAGCCAGTGCACGAGGCCTGAATCAATAACACACACACACACACACAGACAGACACAGAGACACACACACACACACACAGAAACACACACACACACACAGAGAGACACACACACACACACACAGAAACACACACACACACACAAACACACACACACACACACACACAGAAACACACACACACACACACACAATGTGTAATTAAGCACACACAAATATTCTGTGTGATTTATTGAGTGATACTGAGGCTGATGGTGCAACATTTTTTCTGTCGAAGCATCACAGCAGATCAATTTCCTCAGAGACGAGCCTTTTAACACTTCTGCAGCGTCAGACTCGAACCCACAAACCTCACAGTTCCTCTCATGATGAAACACGTCTGTCAAACTCGCTGCCTTAGGCTCTTCTTAAGCCTGGACTATGTATCGTCTGTGTCTAGGTTCATTTTTTTGTTTGTAGTCACATTTATTGATTGTACCCTGCTTAAAAAAAAATTCTTAAACCAGTCTAAGGTCGGTTTTCTGGTCTCAGCAAGCCATCAAGCTGGTCTTTTAGAGGGATTGTGGGCTGAGAGACCACATAAACCAGCTGAGACCGGAAAGCCACCTTGGGCTGGTTTAAGCAGCTTTTTTAACAGGTACAAAGAGAAGACAGGAAATGATGTGGAGGAGGAGTGAAGACAGGAAATGACCAAAGCTGATCAGCTCAGGTTATTCACACATCATTCTGACCACATTAAGAGTTTTAAATTATTATTACAGCTGCAGTGATGAGAGCCTGCATTCACACACACAGTCACACACAGTATTCAGAAAACAGGATCTCAGAGCAATACCAGATTAAACACACACACACACACACACACACACACGTGCTGCTCACATTACAGCAGGACAGAGACATGTTAAACATTAAACGGAGCCATCAGTGAGTCCAGCAGCCCTGACAAACCTCTGCTTCCTTCTCCAGCATTAAATCCTCAGTTTATACTATATTATTGCCTAATTATTTTTTTAAATGAGCAGCATCAAAAAGTTAAATCATGTACAGTACCATTATCATTTTTGCTGCACGTTATATATTTTTAATTCTTTAAATTTATATAAAAAACTATTTTGTTAATAAATTATTTTAACATTATATATAATTTAATAAATAGTATATTTTTAAGCAATATTTTTATTCAAAAAGGATGCATTAAAATGATCAAAATTGGCAGTAAAACATTTCAGTTTCAAATAAATGCTGTTCTTTTAACTTTCTGTTCGTCTGTGAATCCTGAAAAATAAAATGCATCAGTTTCCACAAAAATATTGTGCAGCACAACTGTTTTCAACATTGATAATAATCAGAAATGTTTCTTGAGCAGCAAATCAGCATATTAGAATGATTTTTGAAGATCATGTGACACTGAAGACTGGAGTAATGATGCTGAAAATACAGCTTTGATCACAGAAATAAATTACAGTTTAACAGATATTCACATAGAAAACAGCTATTTTAAATTGTAATAATATTTCACAATTTTACTGTATTTTTGATCATCCTTGGTGAGCATAAACAACCACCATATTGGTTATCACCTATAACAAAATAATTAAACTACTATAATAAACTAAAAAAAAATGTTTAAGTCCCTGCATTCCTAAATACTCATTATTTTATTATTTCTAGATACGTTCTGCTCACAGAGGCTGCATTTATTTGACAAAAAATACAGTAAAAATTGTGAAATATTATTACTGTTTGAAACAGCTGTTTTCTATGTGAATATCTGTTAAACTGTAATTTATTTCTGTGATCAAAGCTGTATTTTCAGCATCATTACTCCAGTCTTCAGTGTCACACGATCTTCAGAAATCATTCTAATATGCAGCTTTGCTGCTCAAGAAACATTTCTGATTATTATCAATGTTGAAAACAGTTGTGCTGCCCAATATTTTTGTGGAAACTGTGATACATTTATTTTTCAGGATTCACAGATGAATAGAAAGCTCAAAAGAACAGCATTTATTTGAAAATAGAAGACTTCTGTAACATTATAAATGTCTTTACTGTAAGTTTAGAGCAATTTAATGCATCCTTGATGAATAAAAGTATTAATTTCTCTGGATGTAAGAGGTCAGAGGTCAGACCTGAGATGAGAACGGGCAGCAGCTCTTTGACGGTGTTCATGGAGTTGACCAGCATGACTCTGTGCTCCTGATGAGTTAATTCCTGCTGCCGCTCGTCAATCATCTTGGCCATCTTCGTCATACCTGTGAACACAAATACAGTCAGATATGTGACGCTTTTATCTGGTGAACAGAGACTGACTGACCAGTTTAGTCTAGTAGCATACTAACCGATAGCACCACTCAAGATCACTTTACGATCTTCAGAAATCATTCTAATATGCAGCTTTGCTGCTCAAGAAACATTTCTGATTATTATCAATGTTGAACACAGTTGTGCTGCCCAATATTTTTGTGGAAACTGTGATACATTTATTTTTCAGGATTCACAGATGAATAGAAAGCTCAAAAGAACAGCATTTATTTGAAAATAGAAGACTTCTGTAACATTATAAATGTCTTTACTGTAAGTTTAGAGCAATTTAATGCATCCTTGATGAATAAAAGTATTAATTTCTCTGGATGTAAGAGGTCAGAGGTCAGACCTGAGATGAGAACGGGCAGCAGCTCCTTGACGGTGTTCATGGAGTTAACCAGCATGACTCTGTGCTCCTGATGAGTTAATTCCTGCTGCCGCTCGTCAATCATCTTGGCCATCTTCGTCATACCTGTGAACACAAATACAGTCAGATATGTGACGCTTTTATCTGGTGAACAGAGACTGACTGACCAGTTTAGTCTAGTAGCATACTAACCGATAGCACCACTCAAGATCACTTTACAAAGCCAAAAAAATAAATGTGAACAAAACAAATTAGAAACGGAATAAGAGATGACGAGGCAATCTAGTGAAATATAAGCAGCATAATTAGAAACAAATATAGAAGCAAAACACCAAAAAATAAAAAATCAGACGCAACATGAAGAAGCATTATGCGATAACACAAGATCATTTGTTAAATAGAAAGTTCAAAAGAACAGCATTTATTTGAAATAGAAGTATTTTGTACCATTATAAATATCTTTACTGTCAATTTTCATCAATTTAATACATCATTGATTAATAAAAGTATTAACATCTTAAATAAAACACTTTAACGGTAGTGTATTGATATTTATATTTCCTAGAAATATTTTAATGTTTTATTGTAAATATTTAAAATATTATTTTCTATTTTTTTTTTTTTTTTACTAAAATGAAAAATACAACAATCTGGAAAGTATTCCGCTTTAATGCATTTCACAAAGCTGAAAATAGATGTAAAACCTACTACTGATTAGAAACAGTTTATGAGCAAATGGTGTGAAATAAATAAAATTGCAAAGGGAAGCAACATCATTAGATAATCATAGAAGCAAAACAAACAAACAAACAAAAAAGTAAATAAATACATTAAAAAAATCAGATGCAACACAAAGCATTAAGCGATAACTCAGGGTTACTTGATGAATAGAAAGTTCAAAAGAACAGCATTTGTCTGAAATAGAAATCTTTTGCAACATTTTAAATGTCTTTAGTGTTGATTTTAATCAATTTAATGCATCCTTGCTGAATAAACATATTAATTTAAAAAAAGCACACATTTTAACAGTACTAAATATTTAAACAGCAGCCTATTTATATTTATATTTCCTATAAATATTTTATTATTTTATTATAAATATTGTTACTATTATTTACTTTTTTTCCCCTTTTGTAAAAAGTTAAACTTCACAAAGCCAAAAAAACAAACACAAATCAGAAACAGATTACAAACAAATAGGAAATAACATAGGAAGTAACATAATTATAGACAAAAAACATATGAAAAAAAAAAAACATGCAACCAAATTCATGTGTTTTTGTCCTGATCAGCCACATAATCAAAACTATTTGTATTACATCACAGTGTGAAGCCCCGCCCTTAGTGAAATCTCATTGGTCTAAATCCTGCTTAACATAGCTACATATAAAACATGACTCATGTTGTTTTTAAATGTATTTTTAACATTAAAATACCAGGTCCCAGGTTCTTGGTGTAAGTGATCAGGTCCTCCATGGACTCCACCACCTCAGCCACGGTCAGATACTCCAGAATCCCTTTACACACACGGATGATCTTACGAACCTGAGATCAGGGAAAAGAGCAAATGTTCTGTCAGCATCGATGCACAAGCTCAGACGCACAGGAACGAAGGCATTAAACGGTTTTAAATGCATCACACCTCGGCCTCATCGAATGTCAGAAGCAGGTCGGAGGTTCCGGACAGGATCCCGCGGGACCCGTCGATCAGATAATCTCTGGCTTGGACAGAATACGGGTCGGCCTTCAGCATCAGAGCCGCCTGAACCAGTTTAGTGCACGCATTCTCAACCCTACAGAGAACAAGACCAAACAGAGAGCGAGAGAGAGTGTTAGTTACTGCCTTTCTTCATCTGATTGTATACTGAAGCTATAAACACTCAGTATCTTAGAAGACTCATCTGCTCACCAAGGCTGCATTTATTTGATCAAAAATACAGTAAAAATTGTGAAATATTATTACAATTTAAAATAGCTGTTTTCTATGTGTATATATGTGTGATCAAAGCTGAATTTTCAGCATCATTACACAGTCTTCAGTGTCACATGATCTTCAGAAATCATAATAATATGCTGATTTGCTGCTCAAGAAACATTTCTGATTATTCAGGAAGGATCCCGCGGGACCCGTCGATCAGATAATCTCTGGCTTGGACAGAATACGGGTCGGCCTTCAGCATCAGAGCCGCCTGAACCAGTTTAGTGCACGCATTCTCAACCCTACAGAGAACAAGACCAAACAGAGAGAGAGAGAGAGTGTTAGTTACTGCCGTTCTTCATCTGATTGTATACTGAAGCTATAAACACTCAGTATCTTAGACGACTCATCTGCTCACCAAAGCTGCATTTATTTGATCAAAAATACAGTAAAAATTGTGAAATATTATTACAATTTATAATAGTTGTTTTCTATTTTCATATATTTTAAAATAATATATTTTAAAATCTAAATTTAGCTGAATTTATCAGTATCATTACTCCAGTCTTAGGTCCCAGGTTCTTGGTGTAAGTGATCAGGTCCTCCATGGACTCCACCACCTCAGCCACGGTCAGATACTCCAGAATCCCTTTACACACACGGATGATCTTACGAACCTGAGATCAGGGAAAAGAGCAAATGTTCTGTCAGCATCGATGCACAAGCTCAGACGCACAGGAACGAAGGCATTAAACGGTTTTAAATGCATCACAAGAAACATTTCTGATTATTATCAATGTTGAAAACAGTTGTGCTGCCCAATATTTTTGTGGAAGCTGTGATATATTTTATTTTCTGAGATTCACAGATGAACAGAAGTTCAAAAGAACAGCATTTATTTGAAATAGACTGTTATTAGAAATGTCTTTGATGTCACTTTTGATCAACTTAATGCATCCTTGATGAATAAAAGTATTAATTTCTTTAAAAAATTATTACTTAACTTGTTAACAATAGTGTAGTTATGTATATTTCCTAGAAATATTTTAATATTTTATTGTAAATATTTGAAATGTAATTTATTTTTATTTTTCCTTTAAAAAAAACTTTACTAAAAAATAAATAATCAGCAATCTGGAAAGTATACACCTATAATGCATAAATTCAGAAACATATTTGCAGGAAAACAATGGCAGACAGTGCAAATCATTACTGATTGGTTTGCAATTTTCAGTATTTTCAAATCATGAATGCACACAATGCAAGTCACTTTTGCAAATTTAACAAAACCTCATCTATGTCAACCAGCTAGATAACATCATCTTGGTGTCAGATAAGTAGAAATTGCAACAACACAATGTAGAACATCACAGAAAACCTAATGTTTACGTTTACAAGCATAAAAATGGATGCAAAAGAATGAAGATGAATTTCAGTGCGCACAGATCATATGCATTACATGTTCTGATTCTGTATAGAATGTATTTTTCAGTTTTGGTTTTAGTCACTCCTCAATACTGTCAGTCCCACATGCATGCTTTTTCACAGTCAGCAGCTCTAAATCACATAGGAGTGACGTATTAGGCCCCAATTCCCACAACTCACACACAGAATAGAGCAGCGCCTGTGTGTGTGTGTGTGTGTGTGTGTGTGTGTGTGAGTGAGAGACAGGAGAGCAAGGTCACGACAGTGTGTGTGTGTGTGTGTGAAGGCTACAGTAATGCATATGAATTTTAATCAGCATTACTGCACCAGGCCACACACGAACACAGACTATATTTCAAGGGAAACAGAGGTTGTCCATTATGTGTGTCAGTGTTTCCAGTAATCCATACGTTCCTCCTGAGTCAGGGATCTGAGCACAGCAGAATGAATTCACGTATGACTCAAAGCAGCTGCGCAGGAGCGTCTCGTCTGCAGCTCGACAAAAAGCTAAAGGCTTTAACATGTCATTATTGTGAATAAATCATGTTTGAGCACAACACAACCACAAGAATGACACAACGTCTGAGTAAACAGCTCAAAACACCCACAAAAACAGCATGTCTGTGGGCTCTGAGATCAGCAGCATCAAACTCAAACAGATAAGCCTCTGTGAACCAGTCCTGCTGGCCTGGAGATGGTTTATGGTTCAGGAGATTTTCAGCTATTTCCTGTTTTATTCTATTTAGTTATTCCCTAAACAGCACCGGGATACACAGATGTTTGTGTAAACTGCTGGAGATTTCCCAGCTGCTGGACTGTGTTCCTGAGGGACCTTCACACTGACAGTCATCTGCAGTGATCAATCAACTGAAAGTCATTCATTTTCAATGAGAGTTGGTGATTTGAAGGGATTTTACTGCGATTCATGTTTTGATTTGAATCATTCAATCATTCAATGTATAGCATTTCTGAATGATTTGCTCACGAATCGAACTGATTCAGTTCAACTCACTGACTCTATTAGTTTGCAGCACTTAACATCCCACTAGAGATGAAATAGAAAAGACTTGAAATAATGTTATGATATTTTATGGTGTTTTCGTAGTTTCTGAAGCATGCAAGCTCCAGTCTCACAAGTCAAAATCACAAATAATATGTTGAATAAGGCAAAATAAATGACTTTGATTCAGAAGATTCAATATCATTAAAATTATTTGGTTCCAGTATTTTTAAAGACTGCATACAACAAAAAAGACAAACCAGGAAGAACAGAAGACTTGGACTAAAATGTTAAAAAGTCTTGTTTGCGTCATTCGGGTTTAGAACGACATGGCATTTTTGGGTGAACTGTCCCTTTAAGTTGAGCTCAATTTTTATGCAAATGAGCAGTGATGTAATGCAGACATTTGATACATTGTTACATGTCGATAATGTTGCCTCAAGTCTCATTTAAAATGAACAACTCCGGTTTGTATGTAGATGCAAATCAACTTCAGTGTGCACAACCCATATACTGAACAACACTAATAATTCTGAAAGATCTGTACAGCATAATAATTCAGAATTCAAGAGTAAAGCAGAGATTTTGTATGATTTCTGAGGCAGTAACGCATGTAGAAGAGCTCTAGTGCTCCTCTCGGGAGGTGTAGTTGTGTTTGCTCATGAGCGCAGCTGCTCCAGCATGTCCACACCTGATTTATTAGTCAACACACCTGCATTAGAGCACTTCCTCCCTCAACAAACACACACACACACACACACACACACATTCACACACATTCACACACACACACAGACAACAGAGTTAGCTAAAATAATGTGCATTTAAATGTACATTTATGCATTTATCCAAAAGCGATTTACAATGCATTCAAGATGTGCATTTTGTAAGCTCATGCATTCCATGCGAATCAAAGCCATGGCATTTCAAAATACAGAAAAAGATGAAGGAAGAAGAGTTTAGAGTTGTGAGGTTGCTGTTGCACACAGATTTTCATTTAAAACTAAAGACTGATGCAGACAAAACAGAGTGCAGTGCCATTATTCACACAGGACCACACACACTTAACATGCCTTCCATGACCTTTACCTTCAACAGAAGGTGTGTGTGTGTGTGTGTGTGTGTGTGTCTTACTTTATAAAGGCAGGCGGCATGTCTCTCCTCATGATGGCATCCTCGGTGGTCTGAACCGTCTCTTTGCCCACCTGCATTGAACACACACAAACACACACAAAACACACAGTAAATACATGTATAAATCATACTATACACACACAGCATCACCACACTCTCAAACGTGAGGCTCATCTGAACGGAAATGCACAAGAGCATGATAAGTTTAATTTCCAGAATATATGACTTTATTTCTTCGGTGCAACACAAAAGGAATTTATTGCATCATTTCCAGAAGGTTTTTCATAATAAATAAACAAGCAAGCAAATAAATAAATACATTTGCTAAACTTGGTGAGTTTGATTCATTTCAATAAAACGGTTAAATATTTCTTTATAAAGGCAGGCGGCATGTCTCTCCTCATGATGGCATCCTCGGTGGTCTGAACCGTCTCTTTGCCCACCTGCATTGAACACACACAAACACACACAAAACACACAGTAAATACATGTATAAATCATACTATACACACACAGCATCACCACACTCTCAAACGTGAGGCTCATCTGAACGGAAATGCACAAGAGCATGATAAGTTTAATTTCCAGAATATATGACTTTATTTCTTCGGTGCAACACAAAAGGAATTTATTGCATCATTTCCAGAAGGTTTTTCATAATAAATAAACAAGCAAGCAAATAAATAAATACATTTGCTAAACTTGGTGAGTTTGATTCATTTCAATAAAACGGTTAAATATTTCTTTAAGAGAGTCAGCTCAGATTCAACGATTCGTTGCCTTCATCACTCAGTGTCAGAGGTGTTCATGTAAGCAGCCGCATTGCTTTTTCAGATATTACAATATTTTAACGCACAAGAATGTAAGTTGAATTTCCAGAATGTGTGACTTTATTTCTTCTGTGCAACACAAAACAAGATAGCCTACATGGCATAGTTTCCAAAATGTTTTTTCATAATAAATAAGCACGAAAATAAAAAAAGCAAATAAATATGTAAATAAGTAAATAAATAAGCAAATAAATAAATAATCAATTTAACTTAGTAAGCTCGATTTCTTTCAATAAAATAGTTCAACATTTCTAGTTTAAGCGAATCAATTCAGCTCAGATTCAATGATTCGTTTCCGTCATGAAAGTAGCTGCATATCAGTTAGAACTTACTACACGTTTACATTGATTTTTTCTTTATATTGCCCACAATGCACACATTTGCAATGATATTTTAATAAAATGGACATTTATTGCAACTAAACGGTTGTGAATCTGTATCTTTAGCTACACGTCATCTTATAAACAAGTCAATAATTACACTGATTTAAGTCTCTCAAGCAATTACAAAATAACAGCTCTCGATTCATTGGTCGTGTGTTTGGCGTGACCATAATGACCATAATGAGTCATCTCAACATTTCCACGTCTGTGAGTCAGTGTTTAATTCCAGATAATCACACGAGCAGGTCTGCTGTCATCCACATGACCTCATGTTTGGTTGGTCTCCAGCATCTGCGGGTTGACAATATGGTCTCGCTTAGGAAACTCAAGGCCACGTTTAACCGTTTTCTCACAAAATTAGCTCACTGATGTGATTTTAACATGATGCAAATAACCAGGCCTGTCATTCTCAGCATATACCTGCAGTAGCCTACTCAAGTCTACTAGTTTATTTCTGCAATGGGATGTGAAATAAGTCCGGTTTCACATCTCTGTGTTATTCTGGTCTCTAGATAAGACTCCGGTTCCTCATGTTCAGACGAATCGTATGACGTTGGATCAGAGAACATTTCTCTGTTTTTCACTCACTCTCTGTCTGCATTTCCTCACAAAAGAGAGCAGTATGTTCTTCTATACGAGCTGCTCAGCTAAAATAGAAACGATGACAGGTGCCTGGCAGTTCACACCACTCACATACCAGCCGTTTGTGTTTAAAACACACACACACAAACACAAACACAAACACACACAC